GCTTCTCATCCAAGAAGCTTCTTCAGTTTCTTACCAGTCAGTTAGCTATGCTGGCTGGAGAATTGTGGGAGTTGGAAGTCCACAAGTCTTCAAGTTGCGAAGTTTTGGGGACCCGTGCATTACACATTTTTATTCCCCAGGGATAAAGGGCTGCTTCTCCTCCCTCCCAAATTCAGGGGTCCCCAAGCCTTGGCAACTTTAAAGACTTGTGGATTTCAACTCCCAGAATTATTCAGCCAGCCATGCTGGCTGGGGGAATTCTGGGAGTTGAAGTCCACAAGTCTTAAAGCTGCCATGTTTCACTGGCTGTTGTCAGAAGTCTAAAGCAACTTTTGAATTATCTACAAGGGTTCTGAAAAACATGCTGTCATGTCTAGGGGGTGACATGATAGCAGGGTTCCAATATTTTAGGGGCTGCCACAAAGAAGAGGGGTCCAACCAATTTTCCAAAGCAGTTGAAGGCTGGACAAGAAGCAACAGATGGAAAATAACTCAGGAGAGGACCAACCTTGACCTAAGGAGAAATTTCCTGACAGTGAGAATAATTATTCAGTGGAATGGCCTGTTTCCAGAAGGTATGAATGCTCCAACAGAAGGTTTTTAAGAGACTGGACAGCCATTTGTCTGGAATGGTATAGGGCCGTGATGGCGAACCTATGGCATGTGTGCCACAGGTGGCACGCAGAGCCATGTGTGCGGGCACACGAGCCCCAGGCAAACTTACTTCACTGTGCATGCGTGCGCCTCCCAGCTGATTTTTGGGCCTTTTTCGGCCTGCCAGAGGCTTGAGGAAAGCCTCTGCAGGATTTGCAGGCCAAAAAATAGGCCCATTTTGTCACTTCCGGTATTTCTGGAAATACCGGAAGTGACGAAACGGGCCTGTTTTTCGGCCTGCAAAGCCTATAGAGGCTTCCCTCAAGAGTCTGGCAGGATGAAAAGGGCCTCAAACAGGAATCTGTCCCCCGCATGCGCAGAGGGTATGGGGGGGGGGGGGGGCGCGCACACATTGCACAGGAGCCCCAAAAGGTTAGCCACCACTTGTATAAGGTTTCCTGCTTGAGCAGGGGGTTGGACTAGAAGACCTCCAAGGTCCCTTCCAACTCTTGTTATTCTGCATCTGCCCAGCCTCATAAGGCAGGGAAATGTAGCATTGGGGGAGGGGAGAAGGGAAATATGTCCAAGAAGGTTCCAGCCAAGATCAGATTGCAAGTCTAGCTTTCCTGGCTCGCATTCTCGCTACAGAGGCACTCGTGGAAGGGCATCCAAATTGGCAGCTCCCTTCTTCCCTCACCACGAAGCCCGGAGGGCATCCTACCCACGTGGGGAGAAGACCCAGAGGCCCACAGTTGTGAGACTGCACACCAGGTCATGAACCACGTCACGGAACAAGAATTCTCCTGCTGCTTGAAGGACTCAAGTTTATACCCTACAGCTTGTGACAGGTTATGGCTTCATCTCCTCCGCTTGTTTCCATTGCAACTGGCTCCGTCCAGGTGCTTTTCAAAGGGAGTGGAGGCTCAGATTTTTTTTGGGGGGGGGGGGGTATGTGGGGGGGGGGGGTGTCCCTTGGTGGCATCACCTGCCGGTTGAAGTCCTCCTCGTTCTCCATCCACATGTATTCTGCGAAGGGGTTGCTCTCTTTCTCATCGTGGCCGTTCACGACTTGGTCCTCCTTGGATTTCGCCGGGGGAGCCGCAGGGGGGGTTGTGTTGGCCACATTGGAACCATTCATCCTTAGAGAGTCTGTGGAAGACAAGGAGAGGTGAATTCGGGCTGGAGAAAAGAGGTGCCATCCAAACTCAAGAAACGAGTCTTCTTCGCCAGTCTGCTGGCTACACGGCTGAAACAGCCTACAGCCAGTGGTGGGATTCAACATTTTTTTAATACCGGTTCTGTGGGCATGACTTGGTGGGGAGGTGTGGCTTGGTGGGCATGGCCTGGTGGGCATGGCAGGGGAAGGATACTGCAAAATCTCCTTTTCCAGCTCCCTTCTCCTGTGCTGGGCAACCAAAGAAGACCCAGCCGATCAGCTGGGACTCGGGAGGCAGAGAATAGATGGAGTTGGCGGGGCCAGTCAGAGGTGAGATTTGTCAGTTCTCCAAACTACTCAAAATTTCTGCTACTTGTTCTCCAGAACTGGTCAGAACCTGCTTTGAATACCAACCTCTGCCTACAGCCAATAGTCCTTGTCATGTTACCAGAATCTAGATCAGTTTCTAAGTGAAGTGGTTAGAACACATCGTGGGACAACATCTAGAATTCAACCCAGAAGTGTTTTTATTAGGAATTACAACAGAGGGCTATAGCAAAGGGTCGATTTCTTTAACACTACACATCCTGACACCAGCAAGAAAGGTATACGCCCAGCAGCGGAAGAGCGAAAATAAACCTCTAGAAAGAGAGATAATAAAGAAAATACTGGTTTGCGCAGAATCAGATGGATTAGAACTAAAAAATAAAGGGGAAACTGAGGACGACGATACGTGGAAAAGATTTTACAGATGGCTGGAAGCGAGAGGTGGAAGTTGGAACAACAACAAAAAAAAAAAGAGCTAGGATAAATAGACCCAAAATGTGATACTTATAGATGAAAAGGAGTATTGTGATCAAAATAATGGCAACAAAATTAGTAATGTATAAATAATATGTTTGTTATTTGTGTTTTTATTTTAGTATGTATGGCGGAGGAAATGCCAGGATGGTTGCACTGTGTTCAATATTTATATACAAAAATTATATATATGTGTGCATGTTTGTGTATGTATGTATACATATATATACTGTATAACACACACATACACACACACCTAAAGAATTTTATATATATAAATGAATTTCCATTTTTATTGGGGATTTTACCCAAAAGTTATAGTAAAAAACATATTTAATTTGAATTGAATTCTTTATTGTCATTGTACGTATATACACAGTGTACATACAACGAAATTCACATAACACCCAGAGACCAGACTCAACATGCACACACACACAAACTGAGGCTGAGGTCCTCTCTAGCAAACCTGGACAACTTCTCTTGCTACCCAAGGGAAGGCTAAAACCAGGGGGTCTTCAAACTTGACAGCTTTAAATTCACAAGGGTTGGAGACCCTTGTGATAGATGATGGATAGATGGATAGGGATGGATAGATGGGGAGACGACAGATAGACAGACAGATAATAGACTAGGGGTCTTCAAACTTGACAGCTTTAAGACTTGTGGACTTCAACTCCCAGAATTCCTCCTCCAGTCATGTTAGCTCAGGAATTCTGGGGGTTGAAGTCCACAAGTCTTAAACTTGCCAAAGTTGGGAGACCCTTGCTCAAACAAATAAGGAACCTTACCATTCCCTGAAGCCCCATAAAACCCACCCTGTACAAAATCCCAATTTAATAAGATTTTTTTTGTTTTGAAAAACCCCCCCCCCCCCACACCAAAAAAAAAAGGCTCTCTGGAGGAATAATTCCATAACACAAAGCCAACAGACCGAAAACTTTTTTTCCTGGATACCTTCCGCAGAAGACACACACACACACAGAGGAGGGGGCAAGAGGGGAGAGTTTTTTTGGGACGCCCAATATTCCTCATTAAGACAGGCCTTTAAGGCGGGAAGCGACACTCAAATCCAGGCTGGGCATTGTATTGTCCCCGCCCCCCCCCCCCCCCCCCGAAAAAAATAATAACACAATGGTGGGTGGCTTCCCAGGAAGCAGGGCCCCACGTGTGGAGTTGGCCATTTCTTCCCCGGAAGTATGCGCTTGTGCGGCTTTTGACTTGGAATACAGGAAGGAGGGAGGGAGGAAAAGAAGGGAGGGAGGAAAAGGAGGGAGGGAGGAAGAGAAGGTCTCTCCGTGTCTGTTTGGGAGCAGCTGGAGGAAGGGAGAATAGCTGCCTTGTTTTTCAACCGTGGCCCCTTTAAGATGGGGGGGGGGGAGACTTCAATTCCCAGAATCCCTGGGAGTCGAAGTCCGCTCCCCCCACCCCCGCCCCATCTTAAAGTCACAAAAAAAAAGGTTCTAGTCCTTATAAACTCCAAATTGCTTAGAGAGCCTTTGGGTCGTAAAGCCTCTGAGCAAGGTGATCAACTCGAGCTGTGAGTTCAGGCCGCACAATGCCCCCCTCCCTCCCTTACTTTCCCCTACGCACAACTCTGTGCGATGAACACACTGCGGCCGTCACAAATACGAGCCCGTTGCCAAGAGTCTGGATTTGGATCGCATGATCACGGGGATGGCTTGCAAAGTCCGTAACTGTGAAACGCCGCCTTAAAAGTCCCTTTCCTCCCCCCCCCCAACGCTGCGTCGCTTTGAACGGTCACTAAATGAACTGTGGTAAGCCAAGGACTACTCGCATTGACTGCGAATGTGGCACTGTTCAAACTGCTCTCCATCTTTTACGATGACCTCTCGTCGGAAATGCCTCTGCCATTAAACATGAATCTAACATGGCTAGAATTATATAAAGCTATTATTTTATTAGAGCTTCTTACATTTCTACAATATTACATTAATAATGTCCCCTCTTCTGGTTCCTGTATTTCTGACACGAGGTGAGACAGGGGAGGCCTGAGGGGTGGGGGAGAGACAGACAGAGAGACATAGATATAGATAGATGTAGACAGACAGATACATACATAGACGGGCAGACAGAAGACAGGCATAGATAGAGAAGAGACAGAGATAAATTAGAGCTAGACAGACATAGAGACAGACAGATAGAGAGACAGAGATAAATAGGATATAGACAGACATATAGAGAACAGAATACAATTCTTTATTGGCCAAGTGGTATAGAGAAGGACATATAGACGAGAGAGAGAGAGAGAGAGAGAGAGACAGAGACAGAGAGAGAGACAGAGAGACAGAGAGAGAGACAGAGAAAGAGAGAGAGACAGAGAGAGAGAGACACAGACAGAGAAAGAGAGACAGAGAGAGAGACAGAGAAAGAGAGAGAGACAGAGAGAGACAGAGAGAAAGACACAGAGAGAGAGACAGAGACAGAGAAAGAGAGACAGAGAGACAGAGAGAGAGACAGAGAAAGAGAGAGAGACAGAGAGACAGAGAGAAAGACAGAGACAGAGAGAAAGAGACAGACAGACAGACAGAGAGACAGAGAGAGAGACAGACAGAGAGAGAGAGACAGAGAGAGAGACAGACAGAGAGAGAGACAGACAGACAGACAACAGACAGAAACCACACCAGCCCCAGATGCCTCTTCCTGCGTGGAGCTCCACCCACGGTTGGATTCTGCAGCCATTTCTGGAACAGCCCACCATCGGCTTTCCCAGGCTTTTGCCAGGGCTGAGCCGCAAAAGCTGTGAGCTCTCCTGCCATATGGCCCATAAATCAGGCTCGTCTGGGAAAGGAGGGGGGGGGTTGCAGAGCGGGAACTGGCAGGAGAAAGGGAACCACGTCAGCTGGAGAGAGCATGGAAACCTCATGCGCTGATGGGCTGGAGAGCCAGAGAAAGTCCCCAAGGGAGCTTGGCTGGGCTGCAGCCAGGCAGGAGGAGGAGGAGGAGGAGGAGGGAAGGGCTCCGATGGGGAGGGGGAGACCAGCCCCTTTGGAAAGCCTTGCAGCAGAGCTGAACCAAGAGGAAGAGACCACCAGAATAAGAGAATAGGGAGAGCTGGAAGGGACCTTAGAGGTCTTCTGGTCCAACCCCCTTGCTCCAGCAGGAGACCCTAGACCCATTTCAGACCAGAGGCGACCCAGCCTCTTCTTGACAAACCTCCAGAGCGTTCCCAACTTCTGTTCCACTGATTAAATGGTTCTGTCAGGAAATTCCTCCTTCGTTCCAGGTTGCTTCTTGCCCTGCATTCCGGGGCTTTGGATAATTAGGTGGACCTCCACTTCTCTGGGGCAGCCCCTCCAATGCCAGAACACCGTGATCAGAGGCTGTTATCACGTGCACAAAAGCACATGACTGGCGGAGACACGGTGGCCTTAAGAAAACCACTTTCGGGGAGGCAAGGGTGGCCCAGCCACAGCCGGCTCCACTAAGGACATCTGGGGAGACCAGGAGGGTGGCAGCTGGCAAGGATCAACGGTGTGTGTGTGTGTGTGTGTGTGTGTGTGTTGGGGGGGGAGTCACATTTCCAAACAGCAGCCATCCATGGGCAAGAAATGGCCTTTCTGTGATGGTGGAAAGAAGGACAGCAAAGAAGCCAGCTGCTGACGGATAAATCTGGCATGACCTGCTGGCGCACAGACGTTCCTCTTTGGAGGAAACAAAGAAATTGACCAGAAATGGACCTCAGTTGACACCTGGCCCTCCCAAAAATGCCTTGGACTCCAGAACAGACAAGTTTAATAAATGCTCTTCTGGGCTGCAAGAAAGTGGAGCGTAACAATTCGATTTAGCCAGACCCTTCAGGGGTTCTTTTCATGGGGTTTGTTGCCTAGATTTCCAAGCTATTGTTGTGGTTGGCGGCCTGCGGAGCTGGCAGCAGAGTCGGACCGTGGGAAGGAACATGGGCCAGCCCTGGAGTCTGGGGAGGACTCAGCCGAGGGATCTGCGTCCGACACGGAGATGGGGCCAGGGCCATGCGGGAGTGATGTGCTGATTCCGGAGCCTCCAGAATCTGATAGCAGCGAAGCCGAGGAACAAGGGGAGCCTGTTCCCAGTGCGCGCTTGCGCAGAGCTGACAGAAGGCAAGAACAGCTAAGACAAAGGGGGGGAGGGGGCGACTCGGGAGTAAGGCTTGGAGGTGATTGGCCCCTCCCATAAGAAATAAAGGGGGGAG